TAACTATAAATATTAATACATATTAATATTTAATATTAATTAACTTCTTTTATTTAAATAAATTTTTTTATTTATATTTAATTTATCATATTAATATTATAAATTATTAACAAAATTTTACATATTTAAATAAATATATAAACATAATGTTATATATTATTTATATTAATTATATATATATACATATATTTTATTTTAAATAAATATATAAATTATAATTTTAAATAAATATACAAAAATACATCTCATTGTGCTTTGCTCATGAAAAATCTGAATGGATTCAGAAAAAATGTCGTTCCTTTTAATTATCTTTTTAATCTCTCAGTTAGATTCATTTCAAACACAGGAAATAATACCACAAAAAAACTAAAGTTTCGAAATATCCATTTTGTCCATAATTTGAGCGGGAAAAAATGTTTCCAAGTTATTTTATTTTCTATATATTAATTAAGATTTCATGATTTTAAATTTTAATAAATATTGTCCCTTATTTACAGTATTTCTTTGTATTTGATCCCCTCAAAATTTTCATCTCATGATACACACTTGAACTAGCTAAAAGTACAATGGCTAGCTTAGTTTCTGTGTACAAACTAGAAAGATTTCAAATTCCTTTTGGAAACTTCAAATCTATCATGAAACACGATAATATGTACATCATGAACGTAATCCAAGTGATGGGCAACTTGCGATTTAAGAAAACATAGAAATTGAAACAGAATTGTTGACATAAAGTTATATGATTTAACCAATTGAAAATGAAAAAGAGGAAGAGGGGCCGGAGTAGGGTCGTGCCTTTTTCATGTCCGGGTCCCATGTTATTGAAAAAGTCTCTCCTTATCTATTTGCCCAGCATGAACAGAACCTTCAATCTTAGCTCACAAGAACAATATATCTCATGACGTATATAGATAGATGAGGGGTTCAAGGAAATTATATTATGACCTTTTTCGGTCTTGTACTTTTCCATCGCCCAACGTGGGAACAAAACTCAATCAGAAAATAAAAGAAATTAAAAACCCCTGTCTTGGACCTTTGTCCCATGTGAAGGAATTTCTTGGGCACCCCTTTCCTTTGGCTTTCGCATTTGGCATCTTCCAACAAATTATCCCTGTTTAATTTATTCTCAATAAATATTTAAACTTCACCAAATGCGACCAATAATTATCACACCATTTCAAATAAAAAAAAACATTTAAAAAAACCAATCCCCACTTTATCTGTATTTTAACATTCACAAGCTAAATTACACTAACAAGTTGAATCGAATTAGACTAAACTAGTAAAATTCTCTGATGTTTTTCACCATAAGCCTTAAACTCCAAACATTAATTAACAGAAAATTAAGCGCCTTCTTTTCAAATATTTATTTTTTCGTTTATAGTAATTATTTCTAATAAAGAATACATATAATGCGTATTATATTTTTTTAATATTAGAGTAAAATGCAACTTTTTGTAAAATCAAATTTAATCACCAATATTTTATGTACCTTATTTTTAGTATAAATAAATTTACATGAAAAAATATAAAACATAATAGAAGGTGAATTATATGTAGGGGCGAAGAGAGTTGGTGATATTTAAATTTTGTTGTTTACGATGATAAATACGAAAGCAATGGGGTTTGTAAAAGAAAAAGGAAAAAGGAAAAAGTGGGTGCAAAGTATGAAAAATCCTTGTTGGTTCTAACAGCGATTTACAGGTGAAAAGAAAAAAAATGGAAAGGAAGTGAAGTAGTGTTACTAAAAAAAGAGAGAGAAGATAGATGAGATCAGAGTGCAGGGAGAGTAGCAGCAAAGGGTGGCGCTTGGATCAAAATCCTAGGAAACGAGGAATCGAGTTTGAGCGAAGCTCTGCAGAGAGGGCAATTGGAGTGATTGGCAAGCCACGTGTCGACGCACTCGCAGTGGAAGCTGTGGTCGCACCCGGGGAGCACCTTCAGCTTCTCGCCGTCCACGAACGCGCCCAGGCAGATGCAGCACTCCGTCTCCGTCTCCGTCTCCTCCGCCGCCGCGCCCTGGTGCAGGATGATCGGGAGCCTCTTGATGGCGCCGCCGTCCAGGCCCTGCCGCTGCTGCACCGCTGCCGCCGGCAGGGCGGCGTCCGGGAGGAGGGCGAGGGCGTGGCTGTGGCGGCAGATCCGGCGCGCGAAGAGGAAGAGCGCCGTGAATAGGAGGATGATGGAGAAGAGGACGGCGATGAAGAAGATCTTGCGGCCGCGGAGTTCGATGGTTTGGTCGTCGAGCTCCGTGTCGTAGTGCCAATTCAGAACCTCCGAGTCCCGCGTCGTCATGGCCGAGTGAAACGACGGCGTTTTTCAACACTCGCAGGCACGCCTTTCCTTTTGCTTTGAGTGTGCTACACTTGACCATCCAACATTATTATTTATAGTTAAGTTTGGTTGTTGATTAGGTATACTCCTCCTAGTGGTCAGGGCCACACACTCACACGTCAGATTCGATTCTTCATTTTATCTTTTTTTTTTTTATTATTATTATTATTATTATCAGTGTTAGAGTTTATCTGAAAATCAAAAGGATTAAACGAGTGTTTAACAATAACTATTACTTTTATATATAATCACTGTTGGAGTTTATTTTTAACTACGTAATTAAAAGCAGTACAAGCTACTCTGATGATATTTTTTTATTTGTTCAATTAAAGTAAGTTTGTCTTGTTAGGTATGTGAGTTTATTAATGTAAATTTTACTTTATTATTTATTAGGTGTTTCAACTAGTCTTTATTTATAAAATACACATAATTTTTACCACACCGCACAGACAACACAAGTATCTTCAAGTCAAGTAGTATTACTATAATGGATCAAGTTCTTTTTTAATGTAAAACATAATTGTATATACAATGTTCTTATTAATTTATGAAAATAAATTAACTTATAAGTTAGAAGCCTCTAGTTATTTTATTTTAATTTTATATTTATTATTTATCAGTTAATTTATTAAACACTTACAATTAATGAATTTGTTTATAAGCTCTAGCTTTTCAATTCCTCATTTATAACATATAAGTTTCGGTCGGCACATGTGATAGTTTAATCCAGCACAACCCGGATCATTTAATATTTTTGAAGCTTTATTTATAAAAAAAAATCCATACAAACATAAAAAAATAGATTTTGATGAAAATTACATTAAGATTGTGTTTGGATTGAATGATGGATTTGGGAGAGTGGAAAAGGAAAGATTTGAAGAGAAAGAGAGTGGAAAGTGAGATTGTTTGGATTAAGGGAAAGATAGTGGAAAGTGAGTGGAAAGTTTGTGAGAATTTGTGTAGAAATTGATTGATGTGATAAATAAAAATTAAAAATTTAATAGATGAATATATAATTTACACTTTTATCCTTGGATTAAAAATGAGTAGAATATTATTTATTGTAAATAATAATAATTACAATAAAATTATATTAATAGGTATAATTTATTAAAACAATAATAAATAATGATAATAATAATAATAAATATTAGAAAAATAATAAGAATGATAATAAATAATAATGATACTAATTATAATAAACAATAATAATATTAATAATAATGATAATAATAATAATGTTTATAATAGTAAATAATAATAACAAAATATGTCACCATAATCGATTATGTGCCATGCATAATCGATTATGCTGGTCGGGATTCAGTTTTTCACCGTGGTTTGCCCTCCATTCTTCATTCTCATACCTCGGCTACCCTCCCTCTACTGTGTTGAGATTTCCGTTGAAGTACTTTTGTTATAATTGAAAATCAGTGTAATTCTATCAACGGTCTCAAACACGGCAAGTATACCGGCCGTTCAAGTAGTAAAAATATCGTATCCACAGGGATTAGAAGGTAATATAAGCATTTATTGACTATTCGTGACTAAAGAATAATTCCAATTTCATAGTTTGTGCAGTGAATTCAAAGTTGTGACTATTGGAATGAAAGCTGTAAATAAATATTGTTTTGTGAGTGGAAAAGGTAAGGAATGGTATTGTGGTATTGTGAGGTTGTGGGGGTCAGATTTCACCAAACGTAACACTAATGTATCCTTAATCTCTTGTTGAATTCATTGCTTAGTCAACCCATAAGTTTACTCAAACCTAATCCCTTAGAGAAAGAGCCTAGGTGCGGATATTGAATATCAATCCCTTGAGTACCCAATATCTACACCCGCATTACGGGCTAGGGTTTAAGACTACTAATGGGTCAAGCTCTATCCCTAGATACAATCACCACTAGGCATATGTTTCAGAACTAGTTTCAAAGGTTATTTTCCAATACCCATGGAACCTTAAATCATGCAAAGGGTGATCAATCCAAAGCAAGCATTAAGAATAGAAACAAACACAACAAAGAATAAAACAACATGTATATATATCATTAAAACCGTAAAGATTACAATAGAGTACGTTGGTTACATCTAACCCCACAAAATGGGTGAAACCACTCAACAAAGAGGGCAAATACAAAATAGAGATGGAAGAGGAAGTGAAGAACCGAAGGAAAGATCCGCACACGGACGATCCCAAGCCCTGGGAATCCCTTCCGCAGCTCCTGGAGGCGCCCAATGTGAGAATGGAGAGAAAGATCCCCGAAAATGGCTTCAAATACGAGCCTGGGAGATCAGATTAGGGTTCCGCGCCCGGCGCACAATTCTTCGCGCCCGGCGCAAGTTCTTCCAGAGAAGTCAAGCACTCTCTGTCTCAACACAAGCCCGGCGCAATTCTTTTTGCGCCCGGCTTAATTCCTTTTGCGCCCGGCTTAATTCCTTTTGCGCCCGGCGCAATATAACTGGCAGAGATGAAATACTCTGTTTTTGTCACGCCCAGCGCAGGTTATATTGAGCCCGGCGCAGAACCTCTTCTCTGCTCCTTAGCTTCTTAGGTTTCCAATCCTAAGAGTCTTCAACTTTCCACTCTTCCTCAATACCTGCACAAAAAATGAGGTGGATTAAGGTATTGTTAGATGAATTTGGGTTAGTTATATCTGCACACAAAATGAACCAAAAAGAGAACAATTATATTGCAATGGTTCAAAGGATGAGTGGAATTTGTTCAATAAGTCTCATCCAAAAAGAGGTAAAATTGAGACTTAACATACTGTATGGCACAGTCTCTGCATGCATGAGCATGGCAGAACTTCATCTCTTTTCAGCTTTTGGACAGGGTATTATCAGGTTTTCTCATTTCTTACGTGGCTTTCATCTCTTTTCTTCACTACTTTGCGAGGAACAACCACGTGGGTTCTCCCGCTTTTCTTCGTTTTTCTTTCGGTGCAAATCAGCGAAAACAAACGTCAAGTTTCTTCACCTTTCGTTCGTCGTCAACAGTAAATCCCCTGAAACAAACAGGGGCTAAATGAAACAAGAATCAATAAATAATATTTAATTAATTTTTAATCTACTACAAAAATGGATTTTTTCTTTTAAAAAAATAAGAATAAATTACACTTTTTTAAAAAAAAAATTATATTTAAAATTACAATTCTCTCTTTTGATAGATTTTAATGTATGACACTTTACTCATTTTTAAATTCTTTATTAAACTTCCATTAATTATCATTGCAAAAAAAAGTTATTAATTAAATATCCTTTATGCTAACATCTTCTCAAGGATATAACTATTATACTAATTTTCTTTATTAAGTTAAAGTAAATATATTTTTTTAAATAAATACGAATGTTACACTTCAATAATTTATCTCTTAATTTATATATATATATATATATATATAATTATTTTAAAATTATAATGAAATTTCTAAAAATGTTTGTATATTGTAAATATAATTTTAATTATTATTTACACAAAATATTTTTGAAGTTATCAAAATAATATATATATATATATATATAACAAAATCAAATACAAATATTACGATTAGGGATGGTAACGAGGCAGGTCGGGTACGGGTTTCGTGATAACTGTCCCCGTCCCTGCGAGTCAAACTTGTCCCCGTACCCGTACCTGTACCTGTACCTGTCAAATTTTTTATTTTTTATTTTTTATCAAAAAAGTATAATATTTTTAAATTAATTTTTATTATATAATAATTATAGTTATGTTATTTCTCTATCTCATATTATAATAAATAATTACACTTTAAAAATATTAAAATTCTTTAATATAATTAAATTAAAAGTGGGTATTAAATTAAAAATGGAAACGGGGACAAGGACGGGTACGGGTACGAGGCAGGTAAGTACATACCCGTACTCATACCCGATTTAATATCTCGGGTTTTACTCGTACCCAGTCAAACCGAGTATTTCCCGTCAAAGTCGGGACGGGTTTGGGTATTACTCGCGAGTACGAGTATATTTGTCATCCATAATTACGATAGTATTTAATTATATTAGTTAATATAATATTTTTATAATATTTAAATAAAATAATATTCTTATTATATAGTATTTAATTATATATATATAATTATTAAAATATTATTTAATTAAGAGGAAATGTCCATTTACTCTAGAAATAAGTTTACCTAGACTTACTTTGTTTAATAACTCATGTTCTATATCAAATTTTAATGATTCAACAATTGGATTTAAAGTTTTTAATACATAGGTCAAGTTTGCAAAAAAAAAAATTAAAAATTAAAAATCATTTGATACTTCATTTCATTAATTGAAACAAAATGTATAAAGATTTTATGATTATCCGTCAATTTGAAACAATGAAACGAGATATCAAATGATTTTCAAATTTTTGTACAAATTTATAGACTTGATCTATGCATTCAGAAATTTAAATTCAACAGTTGAATTGTTGAATTTTGTTGTAAAACATGAGTTATTGAACAGAGTAAGTTTAGTAGACTTATTACTAGAGCTATTAGTTTTATGATCAATCAATAGTTAATTATCATGTTGACACGTATTCTCTCTTAGTTGACTCTTCATTATGTCCATTTGTCTAAGCAAAGAAACTGCAATTCCTTGAATGATCTTGTACCAATAAAAACAACCCAAATGTGAGACAATTAAGAGGAAAGAAAACATAGAAATATCAATAACATAACTATCATACTTTTAACAATGGACAAGTAAAAAATAACTTCCTTGGGTTTCTAGTTGTTAGTGACCCTCAATGCAACACTATTTGTTGTTTAATTATTGAAAACTCTAATAATTAAGGAATCTTTATGGGTTTAGTTGTTTATGACTCGTTTTGAGTATATTGAGGTCAAAGTTTACTAAATTTAAAGAAAGGTATATAAAATTTTCTGAAGACTTGAACTTGATCATAAGTTCATTATCTTAAGAATTCTAGAGAGAGATTAGAGAGATAAACTCTAGATTTGAAGAGATTTCTTCCTTTTGTTGATCTCATAGAATGTATAGATCCTTCCTTGAAGCATAGCTTGT